CAGTTGTTTTCAAACAGCCTCCATTAGCCCCTTGTTTGTCCTTCTTTTTGTAGGATCTGCGTAAAAACAGTCCTCCTCTCTTCCCCTCTCACTCTCCGCTATGTTTCCCAGCCTGGGAATGTCCAAGCTGAATTTGTTCCCCTCCCCTCGGTCTGCCCGGCAGTCCCACACACTCCCACCTTCCTCCCCCCTCCCTCTCCTTGCTTTCACCTAACAAGAGCACTACAGTCCCTCTCTGCACTCAAACTTTCCATTTATCCCCCCAGAGTAACTTTAAATGAATAGACAATGAAAAGCTGTTACCCCACCCATGCTTGCTTAAAATAAACCTCTTATGTTTTATTGTTAGAATCCTTTATTTTTATAGGGAGATAATAATTAAAGCCTTTCGTAATTCAGTTAATTTGACCAAAAGGCTCAGTGAAAATCCCAGATAAGACTCAAACAGCTGCAAAAATAGGTTTGTTTCTTTATGTAGACCTGCATGCTCCAAAATGTCTCGTAAAAGCAGAGAAGCGTTAACATTTCACACCAGAACAAACACGTTGAATTGCTTTTAACAATAGTTTATTTTTAGCGCAATGCATTTAACTCCAGTAGTGATGGTTGTAAACTGTCTCAAAGAAGGAGGCCCTACATTCCTTTTGCTGGGTCACTGAAATCGCCCTTTTGCCACCCGTCTGATGTTAAACAGGGGTTAAAGGGCTTCTCTAGAGATATAGTATTTCACTTACACACTGTTGATGAACACGCAGGAGACACATTCTTAAAAGATTGGTTGAAATGGATGCGACAGAGGTCAAGATATCATGACTAATAGTCCCTAGTATGGGTCTAGATTAGAAAAAACGCCAGATCCTATTTTCCCACAATGCAGCTCAATAACATCTTTCCTTAGAGAAGAGAAGAGTAATACAAGAAAATGAAACTAAAACATTTGAAAAGGACACATTTGTTCCTAGGAATGTAGTAAAATAATAGGAATCGAAGGTCATGACACATTGTTAATTTATATGTTATTCTTAACCCTCCTGTTGTCTTCGGGTCAAATCTGACCGATTTACTACTGCATTAAGGCTTTATGATATCCTTCACAGTAGACATTTGAACATATACAGTTGCTGATCACCACTTTCATTGAACCTTGGATGATTGAGTCAACTTTGTAACACCCATGGTGTTCCCGGATCAGATAAAACACACACACACACACACACACACACACACACACACACACACACACACACACACACACACACACACATACTCTAGTCTAGATGTGTTCCCCCCCTTATGTGCCCACCATTATGCCCCATGTGAATCACACCTGACACACACACACACACAGAACAATTTGATACATTTCCCGCTCTTATGTGCCCACCCCCCCACATGGATCAAACCTGGCACACTCAATACATGTTCAGTGTCTGCTCTTTACTGCAGTTCTTCATGTATACCAGTAGTCTGATACAATATGTACAGTTTGAAAGGGTGTTAAATAAAATGTGTTGATGATTAATGTTTTATGTGCTAATGTAATAGCAGTTAAAACAGGACCGGTCAAATTTGACCGCGAACACCAAAGTAAGGGGGGGAAACGAAGACAATAGGAGGGTTAAGATGCATTCACATGATATGTGGTAAAACGGCTCTACATTGACGTTGCCATTGTGTTCCTATGGAGGGACCCGTGTCGTCCAACTAGGCCGAAGCGCTATCGGTCGAAATTGTCGCCGATCATTGCGTTTAAAGTTGAAATTATGTCAACTTTGACCCAGTCATCGCTGAACCTTTGACACACAACCAATCAGATAACAGCTGTATTAGCGGCGCAAGCTAGCAGACGAGGTAACCATAGAATTGAAACATTACTTGTTGTTTTCACCGCACAACTGAACCCATGAACAGAGAGCAAATTAATTCAGCTTTAGGCTAGCTTGATGGGTTCATACATTAAAATGTATTCTCAGGTTAATCCCCAATAGTCTAATTTAAGACAAAAATAGAGAACATTCATTCTGTGATTTCTGATTTTCCATGGCCGCCCCGTAGTTTCAGAACGCATCGAGTTTAAAATACCATCTACAAGCTGATGCTGACAGCCCCGCTCCTGCCGCCCACTTTTGGCAGACCACACTTCCACGCTCACCGGCAGGCACCGACTGGCTATTGGGAGGACCAGGAGGGTGTGTGTATGTGTGGCCCGAGCGAGCGAGAGAGAGACCTTACGTGCATTGTTGTTGTTAGCATCTGGTGATAGCTAGCTGCGCTAACGGATATAAGGAGCTGTTGAAATGAAAACAGAGGAGCGACATTTCGCCACAACTGCGCCGAGCACTTGACTTTATGCAGGCAGCCAGACAGTTGTACGAAAAGTCAGTACACTCAGACATTGTACGAAAAGTCAGTACACTCAGCACAGATAGTGCGCACAACATGATTGCAGCGTCCAGGCAGCTCCCGTTCGAGCATATGCCTTGAGTTGCACATTGCTCCAACGATCCATCACACACACACACACACACACACACACACACACACACACACACACACACACACACACACACACACACACACACACACACAACACACACACACACACACACACACACACACACACACACACACACACACACACACACACACACACACACACACACACACACACACACACACACACACACACACACACACCATTTGTATTGTATTATTGTATGAGAGGTTCCAGGTTGAATTGAGGCGAATATTTGTAATGTTCAGAGGTTGTTGTGTTTAATATTCATGAGGATATTTGTCATTGTTCAAATGATAATAAACATTAGCATAACGCATATTTGTCCACTCATATGTTGATAAGAGTATTAAAAACTTGAAAAATATTCCTCTAAGGTACATTTAGAACAGATAAAAAATGTACGATTAATTTGCGATTAATCGCGATTAACTATTTTAATCGACTGACAGCCCTAATATTATCACATGAAGTCACAATCAAGGCTTGAGTGGCCATACCTCACTTTTTATTATGGGTTTTATTGCTTTTCGCCCCATAATCGTGACATACTGGTACCATTGCTAAATGTAACCCTCTATGGTTTAATTGCTGTAATGAGTAAAGGGATGGAGTATCTTCTACAACAGCTCAACAGCGCCTCCCTGTGTTTATTGTGTGAACATGCAGTAATGAAACAGAGAAAGAAAGGAGTTTGCTGCAGACAGAGGATGCACAGTAGGTTTTTCTCACTGCGGATAGTTTGACTTGTCATAGTAGGAAAAACACAGGTGTTATAATAACACTAACAATACTAGATTCCAGGAACCTGACATCAGAGCTAAATGTAAACCGTGTTAATTAAATGAGTTTCACCTGTGCTTTTCCTCAAAAGGCCCATCCTCTTTTGTCCTTATTGTTTTATCAATAACAACTCTGCCCTACTGAATAATTATCTTTTAATCTTTTGTTTTGGTTTCACTGCTGGGAAGAAGTAATGACTCATTACGTCCTGTACGGACCTGGCAAGATGGACAAGAATAACTAGATTCCCTCTGGGTGTGTCCATCTCCTGTTTATACATCACACTCCTTAATACTGATGAATACACTCATCATTAAAACTCCTTCAAACTCACAGGAGTCTGCCACACCTAATGCGAGGCATATATTTCATTTCATTTTGATTTGTTCCGTTCTTACTTAATGTATAACAATTGGTTACAGAACATGTGTCTGTAAACACACCATTGACCGAAAAGGAGCAGGGAGAAGAAAATGATCTTATATTATCTGACCCTTTCTAAAAAAATAAAATAAATAGAAATAGATGGTCTGTCCTTCATAGTTTCTCATTCACAGCCAATCATAACAGTATCGTAGGAAAATAAGAGAAACACAACAACTTACTACAAAAAATACTTAGTTCCCACTTGACATGTCAACGGAAAGAAACAAAACAAAAAAACAACAACACCAAAACATCACCTGTACAAAGAAAAGTGCAACACCCTCATCTGAGTCTTACTGGAGAAGAAGGGGGAAAGCGGCGCATTATAATAATAATAATAACAATAATATATGACTTATAAGAGTGTTTCCCGACCAAAATTGTATTGCTTAGTCTGCTTAATTACGCCTTTTAGAATGCATTGTAGGTTAATCACAGGTTTAAATGGGAGGATTAAACCATACACGGAAAACTGGGTTCTATAACCTTAACAGGTAGATTTATTTTGAGTCCATAGTCAAAATTCTACTATTAAAAAGGACCTTTACCCTTCCTCTTTTTTTCTACATCAAGGTAAATCAGACAATTAGAGAACATATATGCCGAAGTTTCCCATTTTCTGTGGTTTTAATGCAAATGTAACTACTTTTGATGTGGTGAACAAGGTCTTTCCCACAATGTAAGACCAGCTGAAGCGATATCATTATTAAATATTCAGTCAAGTAACTTCTGCGTGTTACTGAGGACAAAACATTTCATACGTAAAATATATTTAGGGATATATTCTTTAAGAATGCAAGTTCTTATATTTATATGTTGAGGTGTGTATCAATTATTAATCTGACATTGGTTGTTCACATGCTACTTTAAATCAATACATGCACAATTGTTGAATTGAGACCAGACAAGACAGCATAAATGCAATAACTAGTTTAATGAGAATACAGAACAATGATGAAGAGCATTGAAAGAATGCATCCAGGTGGTTGAGACTAGAGGTGGGACCAAGTCACAAGTCAAGATTGTCCAAAGTTTCGATCCTAAACACATAATGAACTCTGTCAATTTCATTGTGCAATTAGTTTTTTGCTGACTACAGTATCGTTTTTTAACACAAACAAAAGCTTTGATAGAATATTTGTCCAGCTGAGTAAAGTAATTGCAAGTTCTTCACGGTTTTCTCTTGCTACGTGATTGGATGATGTCTGATTGTTTTAAAAGTGGATCATATGAATTGAGTGTTAATTTGCAAGGGATGAAATAAACATTGCTGGATTCAGATGAATTACTAGTGGGACACGTTTTTAATGACATCCTTACATTTTTGGGAGGGAATTATCGGGTGTTGTCAAGTCAAAAGGCGAATGTTTAAGTAAAATCACAAATCAATGGTCGATTTGCAAGTCTTTTTAATTTTGTCAAGTCTTCAGTCCTCAAATTCGTGACTCAATTCAGTCTGTACAAGTTATGTGACCTGAGTCCACACCTCTGTTAGCTAATCTATTCTTACAACATGTGCAGAAAGTTTAAAATCACTATTTCTAACTTCAAAACACAGCTTCCAATAGTTTGGTCCCTTACTAAGGGCTTGTGGCTGTGTTGCTGCTGTGGAAGTACACTCTCTTTGCTCCCAGCTCAGCACCTGAAGGACAGAAGGAGCAGGTGAAGTTTCTGATGTGAGGTACAATACATGTTGCAGGATGTGAGGCCCCCTTCCCCTACCTGATTGGCAGATGAAGTTGAGGGGCTCCTCACATGGCCGGTCCCCCCACAGGTGGAGCCCTCCTCCGTCAACGCCTCCGCACGGGCTGGAGATACGGAGAGGGGCGATGTTTCGCGGCCATTTGGTGAATTTCATGGAATCACCAGACATCCAGAACCAAGTGTCTTGCATTATGTATCTGCCAAGTAGATTTATTTGACAGGACAACATTTGTAATTTCATGACAGCTACAGGTATCCGGTACTAAAACAGAGATATTTTTCCATTTTGAAATATTTACGTTTTATCTTTGTGATAGTAGTTATGTTTACAGCTCACATTCTTTTTAAATTATTAAGATTGGTTAATGTTAAATGTCAAAAAGAAAGTGAATAAGACCCTAAGTATTATTTGTTTTGTCCAAACAACAGTCACCCACATTTCTTCAAAATAAATGGAAACACAGTTAATCTTCACACTTGAAAATGTGATCAGCAATTGTTAAAACAATTCATTTCCAGGTTAAGTTGTTGTCAATCGTCAAACCAATAAATTGACTGCAAGTTTCAGCTCCAACGCTAAATTTGGTTGGTCAGTGGGTGTGGCATGAGTGAGAGCTGCTTGCAAAGCATCCGTGCATGTCTTGTTATATTAGCAAAGCAAATATTAAGGAGACACAGTATTTGACTTCAGGACCTGTGTGTTTTGAGTATGTACATTTGCAAAATTGAAATCCTTAAGATTTGAGATCAGGGAAGGGCACCTATTTCAGGTACTTAGACCTAAAACACTTGAACTAGAATTATAAAATATTTAATGGGCGATTCTTATAGAGGCCAGTATGTAAAAAATGGAACTCAAACCAGATAATTGACACAATATTATCTCCTTATTGGTTGTTTTTAGATGATACACTGAGCACCTTTGGAGTACCTGCGCAGCCCCAGCCAGACGTAGTCGGTGAGGGGGACAGAGATGCGGCCCAGCAGCCCCCCCACCTCGCTCTGCTCCTCCTGGCTGCGCAGGCTTAGCAGATCCCAGTGGTGACGCCTGCAGTAGAGCAGAGCGTCGGACCAGCAGAGCTTCTCTCCCACCACCGTCACCTCCCTGCCACCCAGCCTCAGGCTCACAGTGGGAGGAGGAGGAGGAGGAGAGACAACTGCTGGCACTGCAGAGACAGAATGTTGTTAGGTTTTGAGTTACCATTATTGTTTGATAAAGGCATGTCTTGATCTAAACTTGCTGGGGGAGTTTTGGTTCCAAACTTTAAAAGGAGTAAACATTAAAAGCCAGAGTCAGTGATTGGCCTTGAAGCCAACGAGTAAACAATCCATACCCATCATCTGATTAAACTTTGAGTGAAAGAATACAAATCTTCTCATTTGGTTATCAGCTAAAGCTATTGCAACGAAGATAACTTGCCATATGTCACAGTATGCTTTAGAAGCAAACAATAACTACTAAAACGACAGCATTTAATTATATTTGTATTTATTTTTACAGCTCAAGAACCGTACCTGCCAGAGTAGCAAAAACCTCCACTCCGCACAGTGTCAAAGTCTTAAGAAATCCTTGAATGCTCACTATGACGTAGCGACCTTGCATGCCGCCACAGTCGAATGTGTACGATAAGGAAGTCGATGAGATATCACCACATCTGATGGTGTGAGAAAAAACAATGGACGACTAGAATTACAAACCTCTGTTAAAACACCAAGCTCATATTTTAATCTAAAAATGTAAATGGGATGCGGAATTTTGCAATTGTTAATATTACGCCTCACCTGGTGTTTTGGGTTTCGTGCTCAGAGTTACCGATCCAGATCTCTGCCCCTTCAATCTTGGAAGACAAACTGTTGGTGATGGTGACAGCACTAACATTGTGCTCAGCTGACAAGTCTACTCTCCACCAGGGATTAATAGAGAAGACTTCGCTACAGCATCCCGGACCACCTCTACAACTACTGACAGCATTAGAAGCAGACACAGAGAATAAAGCACAACATTGGTGTGTTGGTTTCCAAAGGGCCACGTCTTGTAGAGGTTCCACTAAAGTGAAAAAAGGAGATTTAATGAATATCGGACTGTTGTGTTTAAATGAATCAAAGCTAGACAGTAACAGTTGTACCTTCTGGGGCACCATACACCTCCACTTCACACAGGGTGAGGGTCTTCATATTCCCTGGGATTATAACATTCACAAAGCGCCCCTCCATGCTGCCGCCATCACAGTAGTAAGTGTAGGTTTTACCCGCTCTGATGTTGAAGATGGAGGCACACCTGACAGTGGAGGGAGTAGGGGGAATATTTATCTTGTGGATTTTTTGTTTCAGAAGTTTTTCAGAAACAGATCTCAGTCAATTGTATTGTATTATTTAGCAGCATCTAGTAAATAGGCTAGCTTTCATCCTAAGTGACTGATACATGTGTTAAAAATGGGTATGGTTGATGTGTGGTACCACTGGAATAATAATGCTCTAATACCTTTAAATATAATTTAAATGCATGTTCTGAAGTTCTTGTCGCTACCTGGGGTTGTTGTTTCCATTGTTCTCCAGTGAGTTCCCGATTCGGATCTCTGCTCCATCCAGTCTCTCAGCACAGCAGTCTCCCCTGTTTGTGACTTTGACAGATGTGATTATCAATGTATTTCGCAGGTCCACCCTCCACCACGGGTCGGCCTGGTTCTCGAGAGTGTGGCTACAAAACCCACTGGTGTAGTATGAGTTTCGTCTTCCATCAATGGCTTTGGAAGCCGTGGCGAAAGAGAGCGTTGATGACTGTGTGGCTTCTCCTTTCAGTGCCACGTTGGATACAGGATTTGCTGGAAACAAAAATATATGGATGGTTAGATTTACCATTCTTCGTCGCCGGACTGTTATACTATCATTGCAATGAGGCATCACGTGATAATTGAAGGTATGAGTGGGCATTTTCAGAAGAAACAAAAATTAAACCCAAGGCATTGTTGACATAACAGTATAAGTAGAAAAGTTATGTTACTGCGCCAGAACTAAATGAAAATGAGATTTAAAATACACTATTTATATTATATTTCAAATATCATTACCATGGCTTACAGGAAACACCTCAACTTCACAGAGACTCAGAACCTTCTTGCTTCCCGGGAGAAGAACAGTGACGTAGCGTCCCTCTGTAGCGCTGCATGAAAAGTAGAATGTGCGTCCGCCCGGGATGTGAGAAATGACTGCACATCTTTGCGTGGAGAAGAAAAGAGAAAGTGAGAAATACAGAACGTTTTTCAGGTCATAATGACAAATGTATTAACCAGGTCTGTATCAAGCTGTTTCACCTGACGTTTTTGCTGTCATAAGTCTCCATTGAGTTTCCAATCCAGATTTCAGCCCCGTTCAGACTGATTGAATTTACATCACGGTTGGTTATCGTTACAGCAGATATTTTGTACACCTTCTCTAAGTCTACCCTCCACCAAGGATCAGACTCTTCTTTGCTGAGGGTACAGAGTTTCAGGTCTTTGTTCCCATCGACTGCCCCACCAGCAGAATCAAAGTCGCTGCCCTCTGAAGACTGGGAAGCTTCTTTGTTAAGTGCCACATTATCAAGAAGTTTACCAGCCAGTGCTCCGGATATCAGCATTAGGGAAATTCCTGCAATGATGAGACTTTAAAGTTAGACGTGTACTCGGTGTTCTCTAAATGTTGTAATGACATATAGAACTTTAATTTCTGCATTGTTATAGTGACTTGTGCCGGCTGGGTATGTAAAAAAAGCACCCACTATTATATTCTGAATAGTTGTTTACTGATCTATTAATTCTCTGAATGTTATATTGATAACATGTAGATCATCTGATCTCGAGAACTATCTTTAAAGCGTATTCGCATACAGTTAAATTGAAAAAGATTTTTCTAAAAACTGCAAATAAAATACCATAATACACAAAAAAGATATTTAACAGTGTAATTTAAGATACTATGACTTACCATTGAGGATCCAGATGTACTGATTCGGATTCATGGCTCCCAGAGTCAATGTACAAATATAGTTTAACGCTGATACCCCAACTAGTGTGTAGACTTACCTACTGTCTTTGTAGTTTTCCTTCGAGCATTTCCAATCACATACGGTGGATCATTTGTTTTAGTGAAAGAGAACTTGTAAATTTGCAGTGATGTTTGCATGAAGCAAAACACACCCAAATGCACATCTGCGTAATGCAAACAACTGCCTCTTTGTTTTCATCAACAATGATTCACTTTTTTTTATTTTGAAAGTAATTGTTTCCTCAACAATTTGCCCGGTGTTGATAATTGTGCATTCATTTGTTGTTTATTTAATTTAATTGTTTATTTAGTAACAAGAGTCTAGGTTAAGGAACTAAAAACTAGTTAGTCTACAAGCTTGAGTGATCAGCCTACAATGTTTACCTTCGTTAATCCCATTCCAACGTTTAAGGAAATCAATTTGGAACATTTTAAAATGAGATTATATGTTGTCTTATGTTTTGAAAAGTATGTAAAATGTTGTTTCAATACAAATAAACAAGTGTTGCTAGCCTACACACATTTTACATAGTACACTTTTTGGTATATTATTTCTTAGGCTACATAAGGCCTAGCCAACCCAGTCTCACAAAAAAACGTGTAATAACTACATTGGTCCACAACTTGGGACGTAGTATTTATACAAAAAACGCCTCTGAAATTGTAGGATCCCTACGTTTTTTTTCACTATTCATTCCAATGGCTGGCGTCTATGTCACGTGATCTTCAAATTTCTCCCTGCAGAAAAAAAAACATGGCCGAACTTCGTTATAGGGTGCGTTCACACCTAATAGTCCGTTTTATGGTGCGCACCAGACCACAGTTTGTTACATTGTTTTATTTTTCAGAAGGTTCAGTTTGCGTCAAGCGGCAAACTGTGGGGTAGAGCCGGGAAGCCAATACGGAAGTGCCACACACTGCAGTTCATATATTGGCCGATAGGCGATGGCTGCAGAAAGGAGCAATTTCCATAGACCCCATGTTAAAATGCCCGATTTTACAGCAGAAAAAAACATGTTTCTACCCCTGGCTCCATACATTTTATTATCGATATAGTTAGATTCCACCTTCATGATTATGGATCTGTGAGTGAATTGTTTTCTAACGCGACCCTTTATATTTATATTAGGTCTTAAAGTTTGTGCATACATTAGGGCGTGGTCACTTTGATTGACAGATACGTGCCTCACTGTCAGCTAACAGCAACTTGTCCAATCTGCTAGGCTACAACCATAGAGGCTACAACGTTAGTTAGTTGTAGTTACTGTACTTGATCCTTTAGCTGTGTTCGTGGTGATCGTGCCTGTTAGGGAATATTGTTACAAATACCAGATAATTAAAATGTCGTGCTGTGCGCTTGAATGTACTAACAGATCTTCCAAGAAGTCTACTTTCAGCTTTTTTCGGTGAGTAAAATGATAATATTATACATGTTAACCCCGTTAGCAGGTGTTTGTGTGCTTGTTAGCTTAGCCTGTTATGTAGCTTATTAGCCAGCTAAGGACGTAACCCTTTATACATATATACAGTTTAGTTTATGATTCAGCCTTGGGTAAGACTTTTATACTATATGGCTATGACGCCCATAATGCTAAACGGGAGCAAATGTTAAAAGGGGTGGGCCGCCGGAGTCCACGCCGCCGAAGCTAACGGGGCTGCAGGGTGCTAGCTCGCTAGCGCGTCCCGGCGGCCGTAGCTAGCACCCTGGGGCTCCGTTAGCTTCGGCCAGCGGCGGAGTCCAGCGTTATAACTGGAGATCAAGGAATGCATCGTAACGCGGACTTGGTTCGCCTGCAGCCCGCTGTAGTATTAGCTAAATAAATGATGTTGAGCAAGGCTTATTAAGCTGAACACCGCCACAATTATTCTGCTATGTATCGGTACTTATTTTATTTTATTAACGTGTGAATGACAAGCATTAAGAATAATACCAAATAGCTAATTATCTTGCAGATTGTCTCGTTTGATTATGAATGTAACGTTTATATAGTGGAACTACCCTGTTTTATCAAAACCAAAGTGCCACACAGTGACTTGGTATGCATGTATTTCAGCAGGAAATGTGCAACCTAGATGACATTTACCAACACAGACTATATAGAAATATTTGTAAAAGTTGTTCATGCGTTACTAAGTGAATATGGCATTAACCCTCCTGTTGTCTTCGGGTCAAATCTGACCGATTTACTACTTTCATCAATCATGTTTTACATTCGATTGATACTGAGAGCATGTTAGCTTAGCTTCTTAGCCTGAGCTAGGACTCGAACGTCACGCTCGTTGGCAGCAGGTCCCGCCCTGTCCCGCCTCGGCTCCGTCTCAGCTCCGCCTCTTTGCCCTTATTTGGAGAAGGCGGGAGAAGGCGGGAGTTATACTCTGACGACACCGTCGAGCCGTTAGTGGCCGACTCCGCCTACTAAGGGCTTCACGGCAACTCTGCAGAATCCTATGGGTGACGTCACGGACCCTACGTCCATTTATATATACAGTCTATGGTTTGCGTTCACACGGGCAAATCTCAAACGGACTATAAACTTTAAACACAAGTCATGTGCACGGAAATGCTGTTCAACCATTGGTCAGACATTAAGGGGGTAAAAACGCAAATCCCGGCAATTTCTAACGGAGCCTCCGCACACACGCACACACACACACACACACACACACACACACACACACACACACACACACACACACACACACACACACACACACACACACACACACACACACACACACACACACACACCATTTGTATTGTATTATTGTATGAGAGAGGTTCCAGGTTGAATTGAGGTGAATATTTGTAATGTTCAGAGGTTGTTGTGTTTAAATGATAATAAACATTAGCATAAAGGATATTTGTCCACTCATATGTTGATAAGAGTATTAAAAACTTGAAAAATATTCCTCTAAGGTACATTTAGAACAGATAAAAAATGTGCGATTAATTTGCGATTAATCGCGATTAACTATGGACAATCATGCGATTAATCGCGATTAAATATTTTAATCGACTGACAGCCCTAATATATATATATATTCTTGACTAAAGGAGAAGAAAAATAAAAGATGATATAGACCTAAGTCACTTCCGGCCGCCATCTTTGTTTTGAATTAAAAATAGGAACTTGTGATGCGTGAACATTGGACTAATAAAGAGAAGATTGTTCAGCCCACATAATATGTCTTCTTTCAGTTTGTATGCTAAAAGTATGTTAAAAACACAGGTAAGTGTTTTCAAATGACTTGCTTCGTTTGTATTTTTGTTCTCAGACAGAAAGTCATGTGAAGAAGGTATGAAGTTAGGCATCGGTAAACGTTAGCAGCAGTGTAACCTAATGTCTATTATTGAACAACTCCTGCCTAAAGTTACGATGGTTGTGTAGCTTAAATGTTTAGGCCTGACGTGTATACACATGTTTAACTATTAACTAATATATTCCAGTTTCACCCAGGGCACTGCTTGCGAACAGGCAAGGCAGGCAACTGCTTGGGGCCCCAGACCAGAAGGGGGCCCCCAAAGAAGGGAGATTAAGAAGGTCCACAGCAATGACAACATGAAACACCCTTTAATTTACTGCAACGCAGTGGCGAGCCGTAACTTTTATACCTAGGCCCTCTGACCCCCCCCCCCCCCTCGAAAAAAAAGAAGAGTTAGTACGTCTCAGCATATACTTGAGCGTAATATCAAAACAGCGGCCCGGGATGCAAAACGCATCAATGACAGCAACCCTCTACCACACAAAACAACACAATTTATATTAAAACTGTGGTCACAGACGTGCACGCAGTTGTGGGCGGGCCTTCGCGTCCGAGCGCCTGTAGGGGAGGGTCGCCGGTCGTCCCGGCGTCAAGCAGACGCGCGCGTGTCCTCCGAAATGAGCCGTTCGTCATTTCTCAAACGTTCGCGTACCGGACTCCCAGGTCTTCCGGCAGCGACCGGGAAACGTATGTGGGCTCGCCGCCTGGAAGGAAAACACATTTCTGTAAAGATTATCGCGGAGGCTGTCTGGAGGAGCCTTAACCGTGGCGTGCGGTGCAGTGGGTCGTGCAGACGTTCTGCCCTTGACCGTTTGTTTACTCAATAAACGCATCTCCTCTGGATATTAGGACATGTATGTTCCATACCACTTTTTGTTGTTGTGTTTATTGATCAAAAAGCAAACCTTCAATACAGCTGTTATGTGGTCAAGGTAAGTAAAGTAATGATTGAAGCTGTGTATTGGTTAATATTAGCGTATGACTTAAAATGTAGTCTCAACATATGTATTGTACTGTATTACAGGATGAAAGTCATCAGATATAATTGTAAATAGCATGCTATGTAATTTAAAAGATCCTGTTAGCAGGGCAGTGGTGTTTGTTCTCGGCATGAAAGAGGTCTCCATTCCATTTCTAGTAAGACATGTAGGTGATTAGGTAAGGTGTGGGTGAGAAGAGAAATGAAGACAGTTTGTATGTGAAATGAAAAAAATAATGTATTTGTGCTTGAAATAGTGTATGCAATGAAACGGAATGATTGTTTCTGTCTGGGAAGTCAGATGTGTTTGCAGATTAGGTATAGAATATGTGGGAATGTGGATTGGTGCTGATAACGTCAGACCTTTTTGCTGACTGTGGAACAACCTGTGGAAATGACTGTAAAGTAATGGACAGTAGGGTTAGGTGCAAGATGTCACAGAGTTGGTTAGTGTTTGTTGTGGATGGAGTTGACAGTGTTGAAAGCGATGGTGTGCCTCTCCTTGTGTACGCATACATAAAGACATAACATATATATAGTCACACATTACTCCTAACAAGTCGCTCTGGTACTGACAACAGTTATGTGGGACTCGGCAGGGATTAAGGCACTTTGTATGCCTGTCCCTGCTTCCGTTGTGTACACACACAACCAAATCACATCAATACCAAGACATTACTGTGAGTGTTCTTTGTCAGTTACAGAAATGGAACTGTTGAAGGTTAGGACTG